TGATCTGCCCACCTCAGCCTCCCAAAGTGCTGTGATTTACAGCTGTGAGCCACCACACCCGACCTCTGAGGCCTATTTCTTTATCTACCTATTTAATCTTGATGTCACACAGACATCTCAAATCAAAAAATAAAAAATAAAAAACTGAATTCATCACCTTCCCCACACCCACTGCACTATGCTACCACTTCTTATATTCCCTATTTCCATGAGGGCCTCATTCATTATACATCCAGTTGTCCAGTGCAGACAACTGCAAGTCTGTACCTAGCTAGGCTCCTCTGACACCTTACTAACCTCTTGTCAAGTTCTGAATATTCTACATCCTAGAAACTGTCAAATCTATCCCCTATCCTCAGACTCACTCCCAATCCCCATCAATACAGACCCTCATCATGTCTCTCCTGGATAAGAGCAATAGCCTCCTTTCTGTCTCAATGCCTTTGCCGCTTTCTAGCCTATTCTCTACACTGGAACAATCTTTCCAAAATGCAGATCTGATGATAAAACAATCCTTGATAGGTTCCCCCTAACTTTCAAAAGAAAAGCCAGATTCTTCACATGGCATATAATTCCCTTTCAGATCTCATCTCTGCCTATGTTTCCAATGATATGAGTTTAACTTACTCACAGTTCTTCAAACATAGCAACTCTCATGGTTCTATACTTTTGCACATACAAATCTCTCTCACCAGAGCACCCTATCTCCCACTTCTTCAACTGGCCACTCCTTAGTCAGGCTTCAGAAGCCAGCAGAGGCACTACTCTTCCACAGAGCCCACCCTGACTATTACCTTTCTGTGTTCCCTCATCCCCAACCATCCTAAGCTTTTGCAGGATTCTCTTGCATGGCACTTATCAGTATATACCATAACTGCCTGTTTATCTTGCCCACCTGTCTGTGAGCTCCTTGAGAATGAGGCCTTTGCCTTATTTGTTTCCCCAGTGCCTGGCAAGGAGTGTTGCAAGAGCAGATAATACATGTTTCTGAAATAAACAAATAAATAGGAGACACGATATGGAAGAACTCTGATTGGAAGTAAGAATTTGACTTTGAACCCATATGGATTGAATAAAGTGTATTCTGTCCTTCGTGCTAAATGAAAAACGAATGCCTCAACCTTCAATAATTCACACACTTTGGAACATAAGTAAAAAATATTACATTTACAAGCTTAAAAAAATCTAATACAATATTTCTGCTGTCAACATTCACTGAAACAGTGACAAGAAGAATGACCTTCACAAATGCCCTCCCTTAATCTTTTTGTCTTTCAAGATTACAAGGGCCTCAGTAAACATTCAGCTATCTCCAACTGGCCCTGCTTAAATGTGGTGTAGGCAGTTTACCACAGGTGAATAATTTGAGGAGCTACCATCCTGAGACGTTCATTCCTCCACCTCCCTTGTTTACTTGTCTTGAGATCTGCACCATTAGTATTGCACCATGGGTTTAGTTAACAAAAGTAGTGAAAGTACTTTTAAAGGATTACTGTTAAAATGTAGTGACTGCATAGGAAATACCAAATAAGGCTGTGCTCTGAAAAGGCAGTTACCTTCTCTAACCTCAACCTTTAACACAAGCAGGTTTATTAGAACAGATAGAAGGGCCTCCACAAAATCTTTCACAGAGGCTAACCTCTGAAAGGAGTGAACCCCTACCACAGGGGATAACATGGTGACCAGCCTTTGAGTAGCTGGCCACAAGTGGGAGAATTTTTTGTGTCAAATTTTAAAATCTTATTCTCTAATATAGCTATGCTTATTTTTAACCTAAAATAATACTTTTTATTACTTACCAATTAAATTACCCTTCTCCTCCTCATGCCTGCCTCCTATTTCCCCGATTCTAAATTCCAGAAAGATATGTCACAATTTATTCTATGTGTTCCTGCATACCCTGGGATATGGCCATATATCCCAGGCTATAATCATACTTCAATGTGTGAAGTTCAGAGCTATAAAAAGTGACAGGATGAGTACTTAAAACATAACAATGGTTTCCTTCTGTTTCCTCCACTAAATAGCAAGTGTCTCTAGGACTTAGTGTCTTTATCCTTTTTGCCTAGCACACTTCTTTGTACAGAGCTAGCTTTCAACAAACACCTGTAGAACGTATGTATGAATGAATGACAGCTATGATTTCTGCAAGGCTTGGAGAGCATCTTGGCACATAAGAGCAAGAAACGTTAGTATCAAAAAAAAAAGGATGAATGGATTTTTAAAATGTGTAATATACACACAACGGAATATTATTCAGCCATAAAAAAGAAGGAATCCTGTCATTTACAGCAACATGGATGGAACTGAAGTTATAAGTAAAATAAGCCAGGAACAGAAAGTTAAACATCGTATGTTCTCAGTCATATGTGGAAGCTAAAAAAAAGTTGATCTCATGGAAGTAAAAGGTAGAACTGAGGTTACTAAGGACTAGGAAGGGTAGGGGGATGGGGGGAATATAAAGACAACTGCTAAAGTATACAAAATTATAGCCAGATAGGCAGAATAAGTTCTAGTGTTGCACAGCTAGAACTATGACTACAGTAGGATGACTATAGTTAACAATATTATATATTTTCAGATAGCTAGAAGGGAGGAAATTGGATGCTCCCAACACAAAGAAATGATAACTGATTGAGATGATGGATTTGCCAATTACCCTGATCTGATCACTGTGCATTGTAATTGAAACATAACTACATACCTCATAATTATGTACAATTATTATGTGTCAGTTAAAAAATAAAAAATAAAAAAGAAGAGAGGGGCTTATATTTATATTAATATATTATCTACTAATATTGATATATAATATATATTATGTTGAAATCATTACATATATATTTACATGTACTTTTTAAAATAACATAGAACTGAAAGGAAGTTAACTTACACACACAAAAACTTTTTAAAAAATTCTCAAGAAAGATGCATCATAGGAATTAAATGTTGAAACAAATACCCAGAGAAGAGGAAGTAAATAAACCTAATGTTTGACTTTAGCTTAAAACGCAGGTAGGTTAACAGCTTCAAAAGAATTTTTAGAATGAAGATTTATAAAACCGTGTTATAAAATACAAAAAAGGAAAGGCTGTAAGTAAAGGAACAACAATAACAAATGATTTTTAAAACTCTGTATATGAAGTAAAAATATTGGCCAATTTAGTGAAAAAGCCAAACTGGTGGATAGGCATCTGATTTAACTACTTTTTCACTTTTCAACAGGTTTTATGGGATGATACAATCTTGCTCTACTCACAATGGAAGGGAGGAACTTCAAATCTAAACATGTCCAAACAGCAATAACTGGCCCAACTGGGAGCTGTTCAAAGACTGACCAATTGTGCTACCAGCTGAAGGTGGCGTCTGTATGCAAATAGCACCATTAAGTAGCAGTCAAAACATTCAGGGAATACATCTCCAACCTAGAAAAGACACACAGAATGCTATTTTTAAAATTGTTTTTAAAGAGTCATTTTGGTGAGGCGCAGTAGCTCATGCCTGTAATCCCAGCACTTTGGGAGGCCAAGGTGGGCGGACTGCCTGAGCTCAGGAGTTTGCGAACAGCCTGGGTAACATGGTGAAACCCCATCTCTACTAAAAAAAATACAAAAAATTAGCCGGGCGTGGGAGCGTGTGCCTGTAGTCCGAGTTACTCGGAAGGCTGAGGCAAGAGAACTGCTTGAACCCAGAAGGCAGATCGCACCACTGCACTCCAGCCTGGGTGACACTGCAAGACTCTTTAGCAAAAAAAAAGTCATTTTAATGTATAGTGAATCACAGATTTTCCATCTTTCCATAGATAAAGTATGGTAAGTCTTTAAATATTTAAAATAGACTTTAAATATATAAAACTGATTGAAGGAGGAAAAATTAGTTGGACTGGTCTGAATGACTGATGAAATTAACTTCCTAAGAGAGGCAGGCAAACATCAGAGCAGTCTCCGACTTCCAAATAACCTATCTATACAAATGGGCAGGCAGCAGAAGTTCCCTCCCACCCCTAAATCACAATACAAACTTACACAATTCTTAACTAAGGTATCTCAGCCTAAAAGCAAAAGCTGATTTCCAGTCTGACCACAGGAAGAATAACCCTCCAAGAAAGTCATCTTCTTTTAGTAATCATAAGAAATTAAGAAAATACTGCTGCCACCACTCACCCACCACTAGCCTCCCGTCCTTTCCATACTTAATTTCTGGTCTCCAGGTTCCAGCCTATCAAGGGAAGGTGAGAAGGAACAAACACAGCTTCTACTACTTAGGTAGGGAAAATGTGGTCCTCAACCACAGCTCCATAGAAATAAATAACATTGTAAGTGGAAGTTGGTTATGGTTAAAGTTGTTCAATTAGCATGACTTCAGGTAAGAAGGGTTGAATACCTTTTTTGAACTGATTC